CCTACATTAACTAGATTGATGATCACAACAGAAATACTATCCAGGACTAGACTCTGGCAAGTAAAAACAAGCACTTTAAAACTATATTTGAAGTGTTGGATGTGTTAACATTATTGGGCACTCATAAAAACCAAAAAACTCAAGAAACTCCACCTGTAACTGCTTTGAGTTTTTAACCAAACTGGAGTAGGAAATGTCACAAAAGGAGCACTTCAGTTTGCGATGCAACTCAAAGGAGTTTACAAAGATGTTACAAATAATTTTTCAACATTCACATGAAGAGTAGAGAAAGAGGCACAACTATCAAGTTATTAAATATTCACTGTGGTGAGTCCTCAGCCATCTCACTGGCCAGGCCTGAGCTCCACAACACCTCTTACCTTGGTGATTCAGGGAGATGCGATTAGAAGGTTCTTGGAATCCTGGTTCCACCAAGTCTCGTCGAGCATGAGTTGAAGTCTGATCTACATTGTCCTAAAAATAATTAAAAAAACAAACACACAAAGAGCAGGAAAAAAACACTGGATTAAAACATGTTTTGGATTTGCAAAAAATAAATAAATAAATCAATCAATCAATCAATCAAACCTACTGCAAAGTCAAGGCAAGTTGTGAAGAACTAGTCACTGTATCTTCAAAAACGTAAGTTAAAACAAAGGCAAAGTAATGCGGACTTGTGAAGTCTGCAGCAGTGATTAAGTAAGACATAGGACATCAAAACCTTACACTCTTGGCTCCACTCTCAGTCAGTTTCCCAACTGAAACTGGGAAATTTGATGCTAATAAGATTTTTCTTCTGGTCAAGCATTCTTCACATGGTATGCTATACAGTTCTCAAGAGATACAGAAAAACAACCTCCTGAAATTCCAGGGATTACAGTTAAAGGATTTATAGCTAATTAGCCAGAACAAAATGAACGGAAAGGGATTCAGTAGACTCGCTAAGGAGTAACATTGGTTTAGTTTAGACATTCACTAGAAATCTGCATGTCAATCAAAACTACTTTGCTCAGGACATCTCACAAGATAAGACCTGAAAAGTTTTAACACTTCCTTTTGTAGGGTTAAAAATATCACAACAGCTTCTTGTAGTTCTTTCCAAAACCCAGACTAGGAGAGAGCAAGATAACATCCTAGAACTGCAAGGTCCTTTTTTAAATGAAAGGTCAGAATTTAAAAGGAAGTATGAATCTGTTCTGACACTTATTGTCCTACGCAAGCTAGAACTTAAGCCCAAACTCTCTTTTCAATCACATCCTAAAACCATGTTGACATGCAATCATACTTACCCTTCTTTCAAGGTATTTTAATCTCATCATTTTGCCCTCATTTTATAGCTAGCCAAATACCTACACAGGCAAGAATGGATTTTACAGGCCATCTACCTCAGTCCCCTGCTATTTCAAGCTATAGTGTATAAAACATACATAGGCACCAGTGTTTGAAAAAAGTGGCATAGTTCTCCCTGCTTTTCTTGTATGGCAGGTGGAATCAAACTCCTACAAGTCAACTAAATCAAAGCATTTAAGGCACTTTTCCATGCGCTCGGATGCATTCTAATCAGCATCTCATGTAATCAGCATCTCATGTATTCAGTGTCCCGTGTTTCAAAATGGCAGCAGGGGCACTTTAACTGAAGCTTGTTGAAAGCACCCGCTGCCAGGTACGCCAAAAACACCCCTGATGCCATTTTGAAATGCAGGACGCTGACTACATGAGACACTGCAGGCATTTTAATTAGAGCAGCTACTGAGAGCCACTCTAATTAAAACGCCCTCCACCTCCCCACCTGGGATCGTATATAAGCACCCTTAGACTGTAATGGTTACACAGAGAAAGTAGATCGAACTCTACTGGAAGCTGATCTTTTAGGAGACTAAGAGATGTGTTAGATGAAGTGGCAATTCCCTGTTAAGCTTAGCACAATATCTTTGTGAGGCCTCTGAAGATAGGAGCAGATCTAAGAAGCAAGAAATTGTTGAAAGACTCTGTACTAGGAACATGAACCCAAGGTTAACTGCAGATCCCCTACTCCTCACAGAGGATACGGCAAGGTTTAAAGAGCTAAACGACACAGAATAAGACAGAATACTCCTCTTCAGTATGGAACTTGAAAATCTATGGCATTCCACCCCTTCAGTCTTATATATTTAGTTTTCATTTGGCAGCTAGAAATGTGACAGGATTATAAAGATTAAGAGTCCTTCATCATCATAAGGGTGCTAGTTTCAATTCTCATGCCACAAAGTCAAGTTCAGAGAGTTTGAGTCAGTTGAGCATGCTTAACCTGCCATGGCAAATCCACCTCAGTAATGAAAGTGAGTTATAATAGAAGCTGTTTTATCTTGCTACCAGGCATTGGTGTTCTCATTGTCCCAAATCTCTGCCTCTTCCACTCCCTCCCGCAACCCCTCTACATACACTTTAAACCATCTACAACAAGTATAATAATGCTGTGTTTGCAAGAACACAGTACCTATGAGAGCCTTTTGCCTTTGCATTCCCTCTACATCACTAAGTGGACCTTACTTCAAGTTGTGGTACAGTAGGCACAGTGAGTCTACACATTACTGTACGGTGACATTGCTATGGTGCTGTACTCTGGTACTTCCTTTTGGAAGTACTAAAGCACGGCGCAGTATGGGCGGTTGCTGTGCCGTGCACACTTAGATTTTGCTGCTGTGGTGCTGTAGCGGCACACTATTCCCGGGAACATGCCGCTATGGCAACATTGCTGGCAATCATGTGTAGACATATGTGACCGCTACGTTGCTGTAGGGCAGAGCTTTCCAAACTTTTCATGTTGGTGACACACTTTTTAGACATGCATCATTTCGCGACACAGTAATTCAGTTCCGGGGGAGGGGCCAAGGGAAGCAGACACGAGTAAGGGAGCTCCGTGGTGCCCTTCCGCAAAATTTTCTGCATTTCGCGCGACACACCTACACACTGCCGCCGACACACTAATGTGTCGCGGCACACAGTTTGGAAAGCTCTGCTGTAGGGCGATGTGTAAACACGCTCAGCGTTGGCTACAGACGTGTAACTTAGTATTTAAACAAGTTTGTTTTATTTTGAGCTAACTAATGTAATAGTTACATCTTCTCAGGAACAATGTGACAGTTCTCCAGGCAGGTGCTCAAACCACAAAGCTAGCTCATGGATTCTAAGGTCCAGTTACACATTTTTTCAGTGTCTTTAGAAGTAGAGGTTTCAATTATCAAGTGTAGAGCAATTCTAAACTTCCATATCAAAACCACCTTCCTGTCTCTTCCACAGGTTTGCTTCCTCCCCACCCCCCCTCATGTTTTTCTCACAGGAGGCATGCCACAGAGATCTCCTTAGGGTATTAAAAACTACTGCAACACAGTCACTCTAGTAAAGTCATAGACTTGCAGAAATTAAACCACACCTGCAATGCAGGCAGCAAAGAAAAGGTAACTAACGTGTAGTTTTTAAAAGCTCATGATAGTTTCACATGACCCTCCAGGATCTATTTATGTAAGCTGTTCAAAGACAAATAATGGCAGGTTGCCAAACTGCGGCAGAACTCTCACTGGACACTGGAGCAAGGTTAAAAGTTATATAATTGTTCCAAGTCAGACTGTCACTGTACAGCCAAATAAATCTACCTATTCTGTTCAATCTACATATATTAGAGGGGTAAACACCTGCTTTTTCTAATCATTCCCTCCCCCAGCTCAATCCAGGCTTCCAATAAGTCACATCTTTCCTACATATTTTTATTCCTCCACCATCTCCCTTCTTCCAGTAAGCACTTTCAGCCTGAAATTAAAGTATACTGTGACTTGACTTATTGTGACATCAACCCACAATAGTATTTTTAGAAGCTAGCCTAAGCATTAACCCTTACAAACTTGTTTCTACGTATTGTTTTGTCCGTCAAGCAGCATCTGCATTCATCAAGCGATAAGCAACAGGACTGGAAGCATCTTAAGCAACATCTATTTAGAGGTTCCGATGGTAGCTGGAATTTTGTGAAGCTGGACAAAATGGGTTGTCACAAGTTTGATTTCAGTATCAATTTGCAAACTTAAATACTGCATGACATAATGCAATGCCTGTATCCAGCTTGAAGAGACACAGAATTCATAAACAGCCAAAACAATCTGAGATGATGCTACAATCTGTAATTAATAATTATGAAGCACTGTGTGTTACTGTAATTGTTATCCAAATTTAAACTGCTAGATTTGCAATTTGGACCAGCACAGCAGCCAGGTCAGTTATCAAAACAAATAATTAAGTCTGGCATTTCAATCAGAAAGATATAGAGGATAAGTCAACTACACTCCTCCCTAGCTCTGCTGCCTACATAAGTTGCATCTTTTATTGCGTTCTGCAGCTTTGAATGTTAATGTCAAAAACAATGTGCCTCTTAACTCATGGAATAAGAGTAATGAAAATGAAAGGAGAAAAACAGGTTAGCTTTTTACCCAGTAGTAATTTGTGGGTATACTTAAAAAAAGCCAGTAGATTAGAAAAAGGAAATTTAGTCCATTGCCAGGTAGAGACATTGTTTCTCCTCACACTGCTGTGTCCTTTTCCTAAAGAATTTCTAGAACTAGATTCAGAAAATATGGATAGGCAGGGAAGAACAACACTGATATCACCCCCACACACACCTGTCTTTACAGAGGAAGCAAAGAAAAAAAAACCCCTCAATTACAGCTGAGTTCTGGGGGGCTGCACATAGTGGAACAGAGATATCCTGGCCTGCTGGCGTGCACCTTTGCACCAGACTGGGCTGGCTCCATGCTGCTATGTGGGGTGCCATCAGGCTGGGTTAGGCAGGTTCTTTGCCTCCACGTGAGCCTTCCAGCACTCCCTAAAGGAGCTGCACTGGGAGGCATGGAACCAGCCCGGCCTGGTGGTGCATGCTCTTGGCTGTAATCAGGGCTGTCCCTGGGGGGTGGGGAAGGCGAATTGGGGCAAGCACCCCAGGTCCCGCGTTTTGGGGAGCCCTGCAGACAGTGGCTTACAGGCCCCACCACCACCACTGCCTTCTGTCACCACCCCGCCCACACACACTTCCTGCCGCCAGCTTCTGTGGGTGGTTGCCACTTTCACCCCCCGGCCCCACACACCCTTAGGGACAGTTCTGGCTGCAGTGCCGGGAGCCCCATGTGGTGGGCCAGGCCAGGCTAGGCTGGCTCCATGCCGCCACATGCAGCCCCTGGGACT